ATATACGTTCATATCTATATATGTTTAATTTTTATTTATTTTAATCTGTGTATTTATATATTTACATCTGTATTTATCTTCATACGTACACTTTTATATATATAGTTAGGTTTACATGTTTATATTTATATTTATTAATATTTATTTATATTTATATTTATTAATATTTATTAATATTTATTTTTATATTTATATTTATTTATATTTATTTACATATTTATTTTTTATCAATCCGCGTCTATCTCTCTGTGTTTTATTATCTGCTCTCTTTTTTTAATTTGTTTATATTGAGGTAATTAATTAATTAATTATTTTATTTATTTTATTTGTTTTAATAAATAAAATAAATATATTTCTTTTTATTATTATTTGTATGCATGTAAATATTGCTGCTTCTGCGTTTATGTTAATGCAGGTATGTGATAAGGGTTTAGGGTTTAGGGTTTAGGGTTTTGGGGTGTACGTTCACCTTGTCTAACAAAGTCTACAGCATCAGCTGTAAGTCTATTTAAAACTTCTTCTGCTTCTCTGTTCCCGCGAGCAGCAAACGCAACTCCTACAGCAACAGCAGCAGCAAATCTTACGTGTGCATTATAGCTGCTGCACAGCAGCACAAGGATCCGTAGAAGCTGCAAACACACACAAACCCTAAACCCTAAACCCTAAACCCTAAACCGTAAACCCTAAACCCTAAATCCTCGGAAAAGCGCTTTACCTTGCCCAGGATGGTCTAGAGAGACACTCAAATAATTAACAAACACATCCTTACAAAAACCCTAAACCCTAAACCCTAAACCCTAAACAAAATCAAAAGATCTGAGCGAAAGCAAAATACTTCCTACTACCCCTTGTTTAGGGTTTAGAAGTGTTTAGACTTGTTTAGGGTTTAGGGTTTAGGGTTTACTTCTTCTCTATGCGAGCATACAACAGAAGAAAGAGACAACAGAGCACTGCTGCGTAGGGTTTTGCGATTAGGGTTTAGGGTTACTCAGGAACTAGGGTTTAGGGTTTAGGGTTTAGATTAGGGTTTAGGGTTAATTAGGGTTTAGGGTTTACTTCTTCTCTATGAGAGCATAAAACAAAAGAAAGAGATAACACTGCTGCTCTTCTCACGTCGTCGCTGACATCGGAGACAGCCAAATGCAGCAGCCTCTTTACTGCTGTCTCCTGTATAAATAAATAAATAAATAAATAAATAAATAGATAAATAAATAAATAAATAAGCTAATAATTAATTAATTAAAACCGCCAAAGGCATTAGTCGGACACAGTAATAATAAGTATAATAACAATTATTATTATTATTATTATATTATTATATTATTATATATTATTATATATTATATACAGGTCTGTATGCATATACACAAATAGGGCTTAGACATATATATATATATATATATAAGTATAATATAAATATACATATATAATATATATTATATATATATAAAATATATATATATATATATACACAAGTAAATATAAACACGTATTTACATGAGGGCAACTGTAAATATATATTCTTTTACAAATATAAATATAATAAAAATATTAAACAAAGATTTATGCAGAGTGAGCCAAAAAGAAACACAAACCCTAAACCCTAAACCCTAAACCCTAAACCCTACCTTTCCGGTGTTGCAGTATGCAAGGCCAATAGCGTAGGCCCCACCATAGCGAATTAAAGGATCAGCTTCTCCTAAACACTGCTCTATCAACTCATCAGCCTGCGCAAATAAATATAATTATATATAAAAGCTGAGAATTGTACAAACAAACTAATTCATACAGCACAGAGAGAAGCACCTCGTAAGCCTCTGCTTAATAATAAATAATATTAAATAAATAATATTAAATATAAATTAATAAATTATAAATTAATAATTAAAATCCAAATAAGTAGATAAAGAAAGAAAGAGAAATACAAACACACAGCCGCCATTATTATCAACTGCTGCAACCAAACCCTAAACCCTAAACCCTAAACCCTAAACCCTAAATCCAAAACCCTAATCCCTCGGCATACAAGACTCAATCCAAGGGCCCGTCAATGAAGTAAGAATTATTTTGTTGCATTGCTAACCCCAAACCCTAAACCCTAAACCCCAAACCCTAAAACCCTAAACCCTAAACCCTAAACCCTAAACCCTAACCTGTATCATCATGATGTCCTAGACAAACAAGACTTAATCCAAGTGCTCCTCCATGAAGAAGGGGTTCTTTAGCTGCATTGTTTGCTTCTTTTAAAGAAGAAAGCAGCAGAAAGCGAATAAGAGGACTACGAGCACCGCAATGTAATAAGCCTAAACCAAAGAGTGCCCCTCCTTCTGCTGCTGCACCACCCCCTCCTGCTGCTGCTGCTGCTGCTGCTGCTGCTGCTGATGCTGCTGATGATGCTGCTGATGATGTTGCTGAAGAAGCCCCACCACCGACTCCTGCTGCACCGCCAGCACCACCAGCAGCAGCACCAGCACCAGCAGCAGCAGCAGCAGCAGCAGCAGCAGCAGGAAGATAGGGACCCAAGACACTCAAACTTGAGCCTACATTACCCTAAGAAAAACAAAGCACGAAACTAACATTTAAAATAAACAAATTAATATAAAATATATTAATTTAAATATAAATACTTTAAAATAAAATAAATAAAATAAAATAAATCAATCAATCAGCAAAAATGCACAAGTAAAACAACAAACAGCACCAAACGCACGCACCAAGCAAACCCTAAACCCTAAACCCTAAACCCTAAACCCTAAACCCTAAACCCTAAACCCTAACAAACAACAATAAACCCTCAACACAAACCCTAGCAATAAACCCTAAAAATAAACCCTAACAATAAACCCTAACAATAAACCCTAGCAACAAACTCTAATAATAAACCCCAACAAAAACACAAAACCCTAATAATAACAGCAAACCCTAATAATAGCAAGAACCCCTAAACCCTAAACCCTAATACACCCTAAAAACCCTCACAAACCCTCATAAACCCTAATAAACCCTCATAAACCCTAATAAACCCTAATAAACCCTAATAAACCCTAATAAACCCTGATAAACCCTAACAACAAACCCTAGTAAACCCTAATAAACCCTGAAAAACCCTAGTAAACCCTAATAAACCCTAATAAACCCTCATAAACCCTAATAAACCCTAATAAACCCTAACACCAAACCCTAACACCAAACCCAAACAACAAACCCTAACACCAAACCCTAACAGCAAACCCTAACAGCAAACCCTAATGAAGTTGCTTACTCTGTGAACAACACCGATGGACGCAGTCGCTGAGAACTTGCCCCAGCTGACAGCACGTCGAACCCAGTCGAGGTTTTTACGAAGAAACAAATCGCAGCCGGTGCAGCTCTGCTGCAGTGCATGCAGCAGCAGCAAACCCTGATGCAGCAGAGACTGACGACCATCGATTGAAACCTAAAACACACACAAAACCCTAAACCCTAATAAGCATATATATATATATATATATAAACTCTAATTCTATTTATCTCATGATCCCCTCTAAACAACGACTTTAAAAGATACATATATATATATATATATATATATATATATATATTGGAGGTATTCAATGTTAAGGGTTTAGGGTTTAGGTCTAGCAAGTGTTTATCAGGGTTTAGGGTTTAGGGTTTAGAGACCTTGTAGAGATCTAACAACTGAAAATCTGTCTGCGATTTTCTGTTTAAAACCTCTAAACGCAGTTCAAGCGTAGACCGGCCGCTTAAAATACTTCGCAAGACCGCCAGCTGCACAAACCCTCAAACCCTAAACCCTAAACCCTCAAAACCCTAAACCCTTAAAACCCTAAACCCTAAATCCTAAACCCTAAACCCTCAAAACCCTAAACCCTAAACCCTAAACCCTAAACCCCAAACCCCTAAACCCCTAAACAACGTAGAAAACCGCTGAGAAACCTCAAACCCTAAAACCGCTAAACAGTAAACCCTAAACCCTAAACCCTAAACCCTGAAAGCCCTTAAAACAGGAAGTAAACGGATGAAGAGACGACAGAGACCGAAGGAGATAAACCCCCTAAACCCTAGACCCTAAACCCTAAACCCCAAAGCGCACTTTGCGTGTAAAGGCGTCAGAAGATTCTGCTGCTCTTTTCTCTGCTGCTTCAGCAGCAGCAAATGCAGCAGCAGCTGCTGCTGCGGAAGTCTCTGCTGTCTCTTCTGCTGCTGTTGCTGCTGCTGCTGCTTCAACGATAGCTGTTGTTGTCGTTGCTGCTGCTGCTCCATCCTCCTGAGCCGACTCCTGCTGCTGCTGCTGCTGCTGCTGCTGCTGCTTCTGCTGCTGCTCCTCCTCAGTGAGAGGAAGGCTCAGCAGCGGATGCCCCAAGAGAGACTCCATTTGCCGGGGGATCTCTGCAGACACCCGAAAACCCTAAACCCTAAACCCTAAACCCTAAACCCTAAATCCTAAATCCTAAAACCTAAACCCTAAAACCTAAACCCTAAACCCTAAAACCCTAAACCCTAAACCCTAAACCCTAAGAGCCAAGCCCCAGACGCAAAAGCCCTCAACCTTAAACCCTAAACCGTAAACCGTAAACCCTAAACCCTTACCGAGATCGATGAGATCGAACGCGATTTGATAAGCAAGGAGCTGGGGTTTAGGAAGGGTTTGTGTCGGGGGGCATGTAAGGAACTTGTGTAATATTTTTGCTGCTGCTGCTGTGTCTCCTTGCAGCAGCAAACAGCGGCAGACCTGCCTATACACCTCAGGTTGCTGCTGCTCGCTTTCACCAGTCGAAAGCACCTCCATATACACCTCAATTAAAAGCTGCAGCACCTCTGCTCTAAATGACTTTAGAGGAATCAGCGCATGCAAATTCGAAGACAAATGCTGCGCACACAAACCCTAAACCCTAAACCCTAAACCCTAAACCCTAAACCCTCGTCAAAAATATTCGCTCCTACGCTTCGCAAAAATCTCATACCCCAGACCTGAAGGTTTCGATGCAAGGCGAGGGTTTAGGGTTTAGGGCTTAAAGGGCTGCTGAGAACGGATGGGAGGGTTTAGGGTTTAGGGTTTTTAGTATTCTGCGTCGGGTATTGCGGTGTTTGTGAGGGTTTAGGGTTTAGCGTTATAAGGGTTTAGGGTTTGTGAGGGTTTAGGGTTTAGGTTTTCTGAGGGTTTAGGGTGTGTAAGAGCTTGTGAGGGTTCAAGGTTTAGGGTTTATGAGGGACTAGGGTTTGTGAGGGTTTAGGGTTTAGGGTTTAGGGTTTACGTTGAGGAGAGCGATCTTATCTGGGGCCTGCAGCAGCAGCAGCTTTACTTCTTCTAGTCTTTTACAATCTAAAGCAATTCCTAGCGAATGTGCAGCAGCAGGTGTACCGGCTGCTGCTCTCAGCTGCTGCAGCACCACCTTCTCTACTGCTGCATGAAAAGCACTCGGAGCTGCTGCTGCTGCTGTTCCCGCTGCTGTTCCTGCTGCTGCTGCTGCTGCTGCAGCAGCAGCAGCAGCAGCCACATCACCAACAACGGCTCCTTCGCCTCCTACGACTGCAGCAGCATAAATAACAGCAGCACCAGCAGCAGCAGCAGCAAACAAACGCCTCCATGCCTCTCTTACGAAGCAGCAGCACAAATAACAGCAGCAGCAATGTAACAGGCCTCCCAGCAGCAACAGCAGCAACAGCAACAGCAGCAGCAACAGCAACAGCAGCAGCAACAGCAGCATACCTGATTTCAAAGCTACACCGTTCAGCAGCGCTGCTGTATCTCCCGCTTCTCTTGGAGGGGTCTCTGCTGCTGTTGCTGCTGCTGTTGTTACTGCAGCTGCTGCTGCAGCTGCTGCTGCTGCTGCTGGTCCTGCTGCTGCCCCTGCTGCCTTTGCTGCTTGTTCTGCTGCATACACCTCATTTCTGTATCGAATATACTCATCCACGCACTCAGCTGTACAGACACCCAAACCCTAAACCCTAAACCCTAAACCCTAAACCCTAAACCCTTTGTAAACAGGGGCGGAAGTGCTCTTCATGATTTAGGGTTTGCTGCTGATGTACAACAGCAGCAGCAACAGCAGCAGCACCACCACCACAACCACAACCACTAGCATCAGCAGCATCATCAGCAACAGCCGCATCAGCAGCAGCAGCATCAGCAGCAGCATCAGCAGCATCAGCAGCAACAGCCGCATCAGCAGCAACAGCAGCATCAGCATCAGCATCAGGAGCAGGGTATGCGTACAGAGTATAGTTTGCTTATAAAGAGATGCGTCTGTAATGCTTAACCACTCATCAGACAGCAGAGCGAGACGCAGCGCATCTGCTGAACAACCCAAGTAAAAATAAACCTTGCTGCAGATCGTCGCAGCTAACGAACGGCTTTTAAAACCCTCGTCTTCAACTAACGCCTCCCTGAGCAACAATAATAAACAATTAATAATAAACGATAAATAATTAATAATTAATAATTAATAATTAATAACTAATAATTAATAATTAATAATTAATATTTAATAATTAATAATTAATAATAATTAATAAATAAATAAATAATAATTAATAAATAAATAATAATAAATAATAAATAATAGATAATAAATAATATACTTAATTAATAAATAATAGATAATCAACAGTAAATAATAATAATAAATAATAAATAATAAATAATAAATAATAAATAATAAATAATAAATTAATTATAAACAACAGCAGCAAACAACTGGAACGGCTTCAACAGGATCTGTTAGCAGAGGCAGCAGGCCAAATTAAATAAACAAATAAATAAATAGATAAATAAATAAATAAATAAATAATAAATGAGCAATAAATAATAATAAATTAATTAAATTAAATTAAATTAAATTAAATTAAAATACACCAACCGGCAAAGAGGTAAAAGAAGAAAGTACAGGGGCGGAATGCATAAACCCTAAACCCTAAACCCTAAACCCTAAACCCTAAGCCCTAAACCCTAAATAGACTGAATGAATAAATAGGTAGATAAAATACATAAATTAAACAGATAAACACAAGATAAATAAATAAATAGATAAATAAATAGAGAATCAAACAAACAAAAGAACAATTAAAGCAAATAAACACTTTGAATAAACAACAAAACAAAACAAATAAATAAATAAATTAATTAATTAATTAATTAATTAATTAATTAAATCGGCATACAGCTCAGGCAGGGCGTCTGCGAGTTCGACCCAATGAACATCGACCAGCTTATTTAGCTGCAGCAGCGCAGCCTCTTGAATTGCTTCATCTTCTTCTTGCAGCAAAGCAAGAAGAGCTTGAGCAGCAGAAGGAGTAGGTAGACTGCTGCTGCTGCTGCTGCTGTTGCTGCTGCTGCTGCTGCTGCTGCAGCTGCTGCGGCTGCTGGGCTTCGAGGCTTCGCAGCGCCCCACTGACGCCCCAGATGACACCAACGCCATTTCTAATGGGGTGTACAGACACCTGATAACACCACTTAGGGCTTAGGGTTTAGGGTTTAGGGTTTAGGGTTTAGGGTTTAGGAGGTATAGCCTAGCCTGCACAGAAAGACAATAGAGCATAGATAAAAACAAACCAGTGATACTGCTGCTTCTATAGAGACAGACACACCGCAGCAGCAACCAGAAACAGATAAAAAAGAATCCTTTTGCTGCTGCTGTTGCTGCTGCTGCTGCTGCTCTTCCTGCTGCTGCTGCTGCTGCTGCTGCTGCCCCGTTGTTGCTGCTGCTGCTGCTGCTGCTGTGGGTGCAGCAGCTTCTATTTAGAGTCTTCTTTGTGTCTCTAATAAACTGAGTAATTATATTTTCATATTAAAGACGTACTTCTTAAATCAATAAGAGCAGGCTCCGCCTTGAATAGCAAGCAGCAGCTGTCGCTGAGGTGTATACGCAGCTCCTTAACAGCAAAAGGATCTGTGCATGCAGACGAAAGAAAATAAACAATAAAACAAACAAAACTATCAAATAGAATTCATCAAAAATTACAAACAGCAGCACAAAAAGCCCCTGCATGCCTTCACTGCTGCTGCTGTCTGCAGACTCGCAACAGCAGCAGCAGCAGCAGCAGCTGCTGCTGCTGTTGCTGCTCTTGCTGCTGTTGCTGTTAGGGTGTATATACACGTCTCAAGAAAGAACTTCTAGGGTTTTTAATTATAAAAGAGCTGCTTTAAAAGATAAAATTTATTAACAAAGAAATAAACACAGCACAAAATGAGCGTTGGGCGTACACCGCAAATATCTCTTCTTTCTTTTGTTTTTGTTTTGTATATTAAGCAGCAATTACTCAATTAAAACAAAAATATAATAAACAAACTCCTGCAGATTCTAACTGTATAAACACTGTAAAGACAAACGCCATAAGAGTCTGCTGCTGCTGCTGCTGCTGCTGTTGCTGCTGCTGCTGCTGCCGATTCTCTTTCTGCTGCTGCTGCTGCTGCTGTTTGCTGCTGGTAGTCCTGCTGCTGGTGCTGTATTTGTTGTTCTCTATACTTGCCGATGAGGGTTTAGGGTTTAGGGTTTAGGCTTTAGGGTTGCTGCTGAGGGTTAAGAGAAGACTTACCTTCTGCTGTATGTAAACAGCAGACGTCATAATAAATTATTATTATTCTGCTGCTGTTGGTGTTGCTGCTGCTGCTGCTGTTGCTGCTGAGGACAAGAAAAGTGCAGCAGCAACAGCAGCAGCAGCAGCAGCAGCAGCTGCTGCTGCTGCTGCTGCTGCAGCTGAAGAGACAGGGCCTCTATCCTCTGCCTACTTTTTGCTTTTGATGTCTCTGTCTGTCTCCTTGTGAAACTCCTGCTGTCTCTTTTGTATGCTGTCTCCTCCTAATAAATATATATATATATATATATATATATATATATTTATACATATACACATATATATATATATAC